TGCTCCTGGGGGGAGCCTGCTTCTCCCTCTCCTTCCCACTTGTGCTCTCTTGCTGTCTCTCTCTCTCTCTCTCAAATAAGTAAATAAAATCTTTTAAAAAGAGAGAGAGAGGGCGCCTGGGTGGCTTAGTTGTTTAAGCGACTGCCTTCGGCTCAGGTCATGATCCTGGAGTCCCGGGATGGAGTGCCACATGGGGCTCCCTGCTCAGCGGGGAGTCTGCTTCTCCCTCTGACCCTCCCCTCTCTCGTGCTCTCTCTCTCTCTCTCTCTCAAATAAATAAATAAATAATCTTAAAAGAGAGAGAGAGAGAGAAGAATGAATGATTGAATGAATGAGGTCAGATAGAGGGATGCTGGCATTTGCAGACCAGACCTGCAGAATGAAGGTGGTCATCACAGTTATTACTGACTTGTTCATTTATTCCACAAATATTCCCCATGGAGGAGACAGAGATGGATTAACTGTGGCTTCCCCTGAGGTAGCTAATAGTGCAGTGTCAGAGTGAGGGGCCCGGTGGGCTTGACTCCTAAGAAAAGGGAGAAAGTGGTCAGAGCCCAAAGAGTAGGAGATGAGCAGCTGGAGCAGAAAGAGAGGCATCCTGGAGGAGGAGGCACGCGTGCTCACAGGCTGCGTCTGTCCTGGCAACAGTGCGCATGTGCAGCGGGAATGGCTTCCCTTCCGTAGCGGCCGGGTGGATGACCTGTGGGTGACTGCCTGACTCCGCGCATCACATTCAGATGCGCACTAGTGCAAACTTCACCTTGCCAGCCCTGAGTCTTGCCAAAGGATGAGGCTTGGGAGCAGGGCTTCAAAGGCACAGCCTAACCTAAAGGAACGGGCAGTTCAGGTACCGGGACTGAGAAATGGGGAGGGTGATTGCTCCCCAGCCCCTCTCGTGGTCCGGTGGTGCTCCCCTGACAGGACTCAGATCCTCCCCATGGCCTTCTGTGGGCTCCGGGGCTGCCTGGCCATCCCCCGCCTGCCCCTCCGCCATCCCCTGAGGTCTCTTCCCCTCACCGTCCGGTGCCTTTCGTCTCCTTCTCATGTCTAAGCCTTTGTGGGGGGCCTCCTCTGCCTGGCACGCCCTCCCCACCCCCACCCCCCTTGCCCAGCTGACTGTTTGTCCTCCACTCTCCGTTCAAGCATTGTTTTCTGGTGGAAGACTTCCCTGACTCCTCCCTGCGCGGTCACAACTCTTCCTCATTCTCCATAGTCCTGTGCATGTGTTTCTAGACACTTTTTCTACTTGGCAGTAATCACAGTTTGTAGCCATATGTCTGTGTGAGTATCCACCAAAGCGAGCTGCTCTTTCTAGTTTGAAAAGAGGGGTCTGTCTTAGTCATCACTGTATCCTCTGTTGTTTTTTTCCAAACATCACCTGGTACAGAGTAAACACTTCATCCGTATTTGTTCAATGAGTGATTATATGGGTAGAAGTGTCCCGGCCTCCTCAGGAAATGACCAATGTCAGGCATCAGTGCAGAGTGACAAGGTAGACCTACCTCACCTCCCTCCCCGATGGAGAAAGCAAGGGGGATGCTGGAGGGGCAGGGACAGCGGCACACGCCTGGGGAGGTGGCTCTTTCCAGCTCGCTGTCCTCCATTAGGAGTTTCTGGGTCACCAAGACAGCCTGGACCCTCTCCCAAACTTGGCCCATGGGTGCTGTGGTTGACTTTCAGAAAGCCAAAGCAGGATGCAGTAATTCTTCTTCCTAAAAGATGGCTTGGATCCCCACTGGGCTGTCTGTGCTTGGAGAACGTGAACCTATCCTCAGAGAGCTGGGCTTCCAAGGACCCCCGGTGCAGACATTTGAGTTGGCCATGGGCCCTGAGCCTTTACTCAGTGACCAGACAGTGACCTTGCCCACAGGAGCCCTCCGCAGAGCCACTGTCAGCGTCCTCAGTGGGAGTGAAGCTGTGCCCTTCTAGAACTCTGAGCTGTGCAAAGAGCCCAGTTCTGTGAACCCCATGGGGGAGGGATCGAGCCTGAAGACATCTGGGGGAGGACGGCCTGGCCAGCATGTCTGATGGAGCAGCCTGAGGCGGAGGGAAGAGGTGGGCACTGCCCAACTGGGGGCAGAGTGAAACCTTGGTGGGAGTCATCAGGGACTGGCTGACAGGAAGGACCCTTCATTAGGAGTTTGGGCCTGGCTGGCAGGTTGCGGCTGGGGAGTATAAGTGAAGTTGGTGGACAGAGAGAAGTCTTTTAAGAGCGGGTGTGGTCTCTGACAGGGAGAAACTCGATGGGAGCACTGGGAACCCAGGCAAGGTCACAGTTCAGTAGGAGTGACTGGGGCCAGGATGACAGGCCAGAGCAATAGCTGAGGAGGAGCAAGACGAGTGTCCTCCTGTGTGTGTGTACCTTTGATAATGGGGTCATTTGGCAGGTGCCAACCAATGGGAGAGCATGGACAGGGTTCTGAGCTCCCACATTCTGCTAGTCTCGATGCCCTTGTAGGTATGGTCCCCACGGGGATAGGCCATGATGGTAAAAGGAACTCGGAGGATGATGTCCCATGGGCAGGAACAGGGACCAGTCTTGTGGAAGACTTGTGTCATAGGTAGCCAGAGGAGGGGCCCAAACTCTAGACTGGAGGACATCAGCCAGCGAGACCAGCTTCCATCGTGGCCCACGTGTTGGGGTATCTGGTCATTCAGGCTGTAGCCTATACTATGGAAAGAATCCTCTTGGGTCAACATGGAGGTGCAATCTGTTTTCTCAGGGGGTTTTATGAGCTGCCTCCGAAGGCCCTTCCTATAGAGATCCTGGGGTGCTCGGAGCTGTCAGCCTCCGTGGGAGGACTCTAGAAGGCCAGTATTCATGGGAACACCCACAGCGATGTCTTTGCTCAAATGTCAGACCCTGCATTGCATCTGCCCCCAGACAGGACAGTTGGGGAAACACCCACTTTTGGCAGCATCTCAGTGACACCAGCACCCCACTGCTTCAAGCTCCTTGGTTTGGCCTCCTTCCTCACATGGCATGATGGATGAGGTCTAGGGCAACATGTGCTGGCAGAGTGGGATGTGGGGGAGACTCGGGCAAGGCCTGTGTGAGGGCACCTGCCAGCGAGAGGTCTGATGAGTGCTGGTCTCCCCTGGGGCTTCCCAATGGCCAAGGCAGAGGCCTGGGGTCCAGTAGTGTCTGGTCAGACCTGCATGCGTACCTGGGTCCTAGAGGTCAGCCCTGCATGAACAGCTGGGTCCTAGAGGGCCCCTGGGGATGAGAGCCCTGGAGGCCATTTCCTTGCTGGAAACTTTTCCCTCCTTGCTGTCTTTCATTTTGAATGGTTCAAGCTCAAGGCTCACCAAAAATATTTCATCCGATTTTTTCTTTCTTTTTCTTTTTTAAGATTTTATTTATTTGGGGGGGGAGAGAGAGAGTGAGAGCGAGAGCGAGAGAGAGAGAGAGCACACATGAGCAGGGGGAGGGAGAAGCAGACTCCTCCTTGCTCAGGGAGCCCTATCCCAGGACCTAGGATCATGACCTGAGCCAAAGGCAGACGCTTTACCGGCTGAGCCACCCAGGCACCGCCCCCCTGCCCCGCAATTTTCTTTTTTATTGGTAACTCATAATACTTTCTTTGAAATGTAAGCATCATCCCCAGAGCCTGTAACAGTGTGAAGAGCTAACAATACATCTGATCCTGTAGTTTCTTGATAATTCATGTTTTTGAGTAGGCAGTAGTACATTGAAAGTTCTGCAGTAAGACAAAACACAACAAAAAGCATGCTATGAGGAGTGTCCCTCCCTTCACCTCCTGCCTCCGGGAAAGGAAGAATGAGCGCTCTCAGTGTTTCTCATGGTGCCTTCCAGAGTTCCTTTGGCAATATATTACAAAAGGCACACAAAGTCTTATTTTCTTCCTTTTTCTTACACAGGAGGTTATACGTTATACATGCTGCGCTGTAGCTGGTTTATTTTTCATATGACGGTCTATCCCGAAGATCTTTCCATATTGGCTCACAGCGGGAGTCCTCGTTCCTTTATGTAGTCACCCAGTATTCCACCGTGCGAGCACACCATAACTTATTTAGCCAGCCCCTACAAATCAATTCTTGTGTTGTTTCCAGTCTTTTGCTACTAGAACCTTGTACATAGATCACTTCCCATATGCGTGAGTCCAGCGGTAAAATACATTTTCAGAGGTGCAACTGCTTTATCAAAGGAAATGTGCATTTGTGATTTTGATAGCTTTTGTCAAATTGTCTATCATGGGTGTGTGACCAATGGGCTCCCACCAGAATTGTGTGAAGGCTATTTCTCTATAGCTGTCCCGGCACAGTGCTTTACTGACTGGTCATGTGGTGTGGTGGCAAATGTCCTGGGTGAGGTCATCAGCTCTGGGACGGAACTGTACCTTCAAGGGGTGGGGAGCTTCAGTCTAGAAGAGGCAGTGGCCCCTGGTGATTAAGACTCCCACTCAGGGGGGCGCCTGGGCAGCTCGGCCAGTTCAGCGTCCAACTCTTGATTTCAGCTCAGGTCATGAACTCAGGGTCGTGGGATCAAGTCCTGAGTCGGGCTCCGTGCTGAGTGGGGACACCTTCGTGCTGCCTCCCTCCCCCTGCCACACACTCTCTTGCTCTCTCTCTCTCTCAAATAAATAAATAAATCTTTAAAAAAAGCCTCCCAGTCAACCTGAGCTCCAATCCTCAGGCAAATTACTTGACCTCTCAGGCCTCAATTTTCTCATCTGCAAAATGGGGGACATATTATCTACCGTGGGGTCATTGTGAGTTTCGGATGAGATGACGCATATAAAAAGGGCTTGGTGTGGTGCCTGGCACATGGCTCTGGGAGGCTGGCTCCACAGTGACTGGCAGGGTGCCCTTGGCTGAGGAGCCTCTTGGCTGAGTCCCTGTCTGTTTCCTCTCCTGTCAGGGGAGGAGGTGGGTGTGGGGGTTTCTCAGGCCTTCTTCCCAGTCTCACTGTCGGACATGCCGTTCTTCAGCAGCTCGTGTAACCTGCACTCCCCCTTCGTGTCTCCTGCTCATCCAAGGTATTCAGGAATCTCCAGTGCCCAACGGTCACTCGCTGCCGGGCAGAGATTTCCTCCGGAAGCAGATGCGGGGAGACCTGTTCACGCAGCAGCAGCTGGAGGTGTTGGACCGCGTGTTTGAGAGGCAGCACTACTCGGACATCTTCACCACCACAGAGCCCATCAAGCCCGAGCAGGTATGCCCCATGACTCACTGCCTGCTGGACCTCCGGCTGGACGCAGGCTTGGCTTGCCCTCCCCAGGCAGTTGGCGGGGTGTGGGCGAGGATGCCAGGTTTTACTCCGCGGCAGGCTTCTCGTTGTTCTCGGCCAAACTTGGATAGTTGCAGCCTCCCACAGGGTCAGGAGGACTTGTCTGGGGTCCTGGTGGCTTCTTGCCTCGGTGCTTCTATCTCCCCAGCCAGCCTGGTGGGGTGGGGGTGAGGGCAGTGGCATGACTGGTCGGGCTGCTCTGCCATCACTGAATGGTGTCCTCGCTGAGCTTCCTGTACATGCTCATTAGATGGCACTTCTGAAGTTTTCCCACAGAACCATTCAAAGCCATGTAGGCTGTCTGCACAAGCTCCCGTGGAGGGGAAGGATGCCAGAGGGGATGCTGAGTAGTGAGGACTGAGCAAAGCCTCAAGGGCCACCATCTTATGACAGTCTGGCTGTCTGAGCAGTTCCTGTGAGGGCTTTCTCAGACCATCTAGCCACTTTGTTTTCAGATGGGGAAACTCAGGCCCAGAGAGGCAGAGAGACTTGCCTGAGGCCACACAGCAAGTCATGTATTCACTTAACAAACATTGAGGAGTATCACCTATGTGCAAAGCATGGAGCCAGGCACTAGGTACTTCAGTGAACAAGACAGGCTTGGACCTGCCCTCAGGGAGCCTACAGGTATGTGGAAGAACCACAATCAGTAAGAATAACCCGAAAGGTCATGGATTGCAGATGTCCTAGGTGCAGGGGTGGGGATGTCTGAGGTTCGTTGAAAGAATAAAGCAGAGGCTGAGCCAGCCTGGAGGCCACAATGGCCTAAGCCCTGAGGTGTAGGGCAGAACCAGGAGAAGGGATGTGGAGGTGGGGAGGAGTGTGCCTGACAGACAGAATAGCAAGTGCGAGGCCTTGAGGTAAGAAGGGGCACGGCAGGAGTGAGGAATGGAAGGAGAGCCAAGAGAGCCAGCGTGGCTCGGCTTCAGGGCACAGGGACGGGGGGAGAGGGGACAGTGATGTTGGGGAGATGGGCCAGGTCTTGTAGACTGTGGTTGAGACTGGTCTTTCTCCTACAAGTGAAATCTCGTCCAGGAGCAAGGTGGTCCTATGTGCTGGATGGAGCTGATCCCACACACTCTAGATCTTGAGCTTTCAGGAAAAAAGTCTGTTTCCATCACAAACAGACTTTCTGAGTGATGGCCGAAGCCACATTCCATCTGACGCAGGAGGAGAAAGAAAAGGAGACCCTTGGATGTGGCCTACCTTTCCCTCCAGAATCGGGGAGAAAATTTATCTTTTAACCACTGACAAGGTCACGTGATTTTAGAGCTAGCAGAGACTGCAGAGGCAAGCTGTCAGCCCCCTCATCTTGTAGCGGCCCCAAGAGGGGACAGGGTTTGTCCGAGGTCACCCAGCAAGTGAGTGGTGAAGAGCGAGGGCTCAGGCCTCTACACTCAGTCTGGCCTCTACTGCATGAAGCCTCCAGTGCTTATGTTAAGCTCCTGTTAACTTAATGCAGATGTTCAGTGTTAGAGACCGGGTTTCCCTCCGTGTTTCACGTGATTCTCATGGAAACTCAGATCTGTATCATATTTCATTTAACTTGGAATGACCAGGAAATTTGGGCAGAGGCTGTAGGGCTTCATAATTGGTAGAAGTCCAGAAGCCATCCATGTATTTACTCACTCGCTCAGACATTCATATGCTCATTTATCCAACGTATTTCTTGCATGCTGGCTATGAGGCTGGCACAGTACCAGGCACCCACGGGGTGGAGGGATGAGTCATGCATCAGCTCTGTCTGCCCACAGTCTCCCAGGGGCAATATGACGTGGATTCAGAACCTGCAAGGCGACAGAGAAGGTTCTGTGTTCCCTGGTGAGTGGGAGGTTGCCTCAGTCGGGAGCATGGGGTGGGTGCGGGGAGGTGGTACAGAGGAGGCAACGTTGGGGGACAGGTCTGATAGGCTCATGTAGAGATGGGGCCCGGCGGGGAGGAGACCTGCATTACAAACCCTGCAAGGGCCCCGTTCCTAGCAGTCTTGTTGTGCAGTGTCCTTCAGAACGGCGCGGACACAACCGCGGGCCTGTGTCTGTGTCGGCTCTGAGGCGGGGCCTGCGGGCGAGTGTGTGGCGGGGTAATGACTGACTCAGTGCTTTCTGGTTAATCTGCTTCACCTCCCCGTAATGTGCCGTAATGAGGAGAGATGGAAGGTGAGGCCGCGGGGCTGCCAGGCACACACACAGGCACTGGACTATGAATGACATACCCTCGCTCCCGGTTCCCAGTCACTGGACAAATGACAGCCAAAGCAAGGGGCCACAGCCCGGGAAGGGGTGCATGTCAAGGATATGAGCCCACTCTCTGTCTGGCCTGGTGAGCCCTGGAGCAACATGGCCTGGTGGTGGCACCCAGAAGGGGGCCTGGAGCTCTGGCAGCCAAGGGGGGCATCTCTTCCATATGTGAGCAGACCTAGGTCTCCATGGTCTAGTAGCCTTGGTGGGGTCTTGCTGTCAGTTTCACGGAGCAGCTTGTGGGGAAGAAAGAGTTTTTCCTGGCCTTGGGGTTGAGGGAGTTTGACTTGAGTCAAACTGAGTCCCCGCTCTGGCCTGTTGGGCGGGATGTTTTTTCTCTGGACCTCAGTTTCCACACCTGTGGCGGCAGGAACTGGGATTTTGCACAGCAGCTACTCGACAGCAGTGGTCTTCCTCACGCATGCGTGCTACGGTACAGTGTCCAAAGGGCTTTCACGTCCGTGCTCTCCTCCTTCGACTTGCAATTGAAATGCCCACGAAACAGTGTGGGTAAGAGTGGTAGAGCCCCATTTTACAGACTGGAACATTTTTTCCCCCCGATTATCCCCCCCCCCCCCCCCCCCGCCGTGTTCAGCCCAGGGAGCTTCCAGGACTTTGTGGAGGCCACAGAGATGGAATTTGATTTTAAGGTCTTCTGTTCTCATCTTGTGCTGGATGGTTGCACGGACCTCCTTATCCCCGAAAGATTCCAGGAGTGTTTCCTAACTGGCTGGTTCTCAGAACTGGCCTTTTGCAGCCAGAGTCTGTCTGTTATTCCAGAATCCTCAGAGTTTTGCCATGGGCTTGGGTGGTCAAATCCCCCTCAATTACCCAGCCCACCCACTGGCGGGAAGAACATTCCTCTTAGGGGCCAGGTGGGGGTCCTGCCAGTCACGCCCACCCCTGCCTTGCCGCTCTTCCCACCAAGATCTACGCACTGGGTGGATAGGCCGGGCCTCTCGCCTTTATATGGACACTTAGTAAACCCTTGGCCCCGGGTGTCCTGCATACACACTTCTGGAGCAAAGAAACACTTCCTTCTCAACGTGGTTATTGAAAAAGCAATTCTGTTTTCCCTCCATGTGGAGGGAGTAAGCATCACCCTGAAGGAGAACGGTAAAAAAGAAAAGATTAAATGGTGCTGGTGGCGTGCATGTTCCGAACAGTGGACTCTGAGTAAAACTCGCGGTGACGCTGTCACTGTCGCCCGAGCACTGCCCCTTGCGGGAGCCGCTCCCTCCTCCGGCCTCCGCAGGAAGGCTGAGGGAGGACAGCCTGCCGTATTTACTCTCGGCAGACTATTAACCAACACCAGGCTATTAATCTGGCTTTTGAGCCTTCACTAAAGCCCATAAAAGCTCACAGTTGTCAAATGGAGTTCGTTTTAATTTCCTTTCAATCACAGTAAATTATTCAGGTGATAAATCAGCTGGAGCAGCCTCCTGGCTGTAATAGAAACCCTAATTCCTGGCTAATTATCCAGCCCATTGCTGCCAACAGATCAATACGGGCGCAAAATGGAACCGGCCCAGGGCCCTCCCTCCCATCGGGCCAGAGACAGAAAGACAGCTGGGGAAGGGGACGTGCTGCTGACCTCCCGGGAAGTTCAAAGGTCATGGGGGGTTAAACCGGGAGAAGGCTTGTCCCTTGTCTAAAAGAGAAAGCCACCAGAAATGCCTCCCCCTTGCTTGTGCTGCTTTGCCCTCTGCGTGGTGGCATCTCTCCAGGCTAGTGGGCCGGGGCCGAGCGTGGCCTGTGCCCGTGGGTGTCCTACTCCGAGAAAGGGACTGGTGTGTGGTTTTGAGCATAATTGAGCTTGGTCATCGGGGATGGTGAGTCAGAAAAAGGTCTGGGATGGTGGGGAAAAAGATGAGGTGTGGGGCATGGTTCCTGGCTTCAAGGAGCTCATTTTCCTCTGTAGTGGGTCTGGGCCCACCAGAAGGAGGTGGCGCAGGAAGAGGAGGGAGTGAGGAGACAAGTGTGAGGTAGGCTGAGAAAGGGGAAAGGCTTCCTGGAGGAGGTGCCATTCGTGCTGTATCTTGAGGGGTGGGCAGAATCCAGATCTGTGGAGATGGTGGAACTGGCTGGAGGGGGCGTTCTGGGTGGAAGGAACAATGTGGGCAAAGGTATGGCAGGGAACTGGGAGCCGGTCTGGGCGGTTGGGATGTAGGAGGAGTGAAAGGCAGTCAGGGACAGTGGGGCTGGAGCAGTAGGGGGTGAGCAGACCCCAGAGAAATGTGGAGGTGAGGAAGTCTGACTTTGCTTTGGGGGCAGTGTGCCCCCAAGAGCCCGGTGTCTGTGGCCTGGAACCACTCTGCTCACTTGGAAGCTGCCTTCCTGGGGCCTCCTGCTTTCTGCCCTGGTCCCTATTGCTCCTGTTGGATCTCTCTTCCTGAAGCCCATCCTCACTTAAGAGCCCCTCACGGTTTCCCCCACTTGAGACCCCGGCCCAGCCCTTCATCCCCTTCACGACCCTTCACCACTGCCCCATGTCCCTCTGATGGCCCCCAGGATACTCTGGCTGTGGCCAGACCTGACCTCTTACTGCCCCTTGTGTGCAGGGCTCCTCCTCTGTGCGAGGGGGCCACAGATGGTGGGCTGGTGTGTGTGTGCATGTGTGTGCGCAAGCCTGAGCACGTGAACAGTGGGGCTGGCCGTGAGCATGCAGGGTGGCAGGTACTGCAGTTA